CTGAACAAATTTTGGTTTTCTGATTTCAGATTTCTTACTGCGTGTTTCTCAGGGCATCTTAAACTTTTTTTCATTTAGGATAAGAAGCTCAGCTATTTGCTGTCCCTTTTTCTCCTCCTTCCCCCATGCTTTCTGAAGATCAAATCAATTTCTTTATTGAGAAGAGACAAACTTTTTGACTACATTCTTGCATTTTATAGAGTGGTGGGTTTCTTTAAGGTAAATTTTTCTTCTGTGAAGAATATTTTCTGAACACCTCAAGCATTCTTCTCAGAGAAAATCCTCAAATCCTAGAAAAGCACCATCTCTTCATGAAAAACATTTGTATTCCCATTTTCCTTTAAAACAAATGTCTCAGTCTTTGGTATTTCACAGAAAACTCTGCATAAGTGCCAGCAGAGCAGTGATGTATCTAAAGAGATTGCATCCCTTACCTAATTGTGTGTTTCTGTTGAATCAGCACTGGGTTAGTCTTTGACAGATCTACTACATAAACCTGAGTCACTTCTTAAGCATCTTTTTACTTCAGATTTCCTTTCTGACTTTAAAAAAGGTGTAAGGAAGAAGGAATGAAGCGCATGTTGTTGATGTGCCTTAGAAAATATATGAGATCTATAAGTATCTGGAGTAAAGTATTTATTCTTAAGTCTGTAGAAATGTAGCTTGTAGTCCAGTAACCAGTGTTGTGACTGCCAGTAATAAGCCGTGAGCTTTGTACTGAGTTTGCAAACTGACTGAGGTTTGCTCTGACCAGACTTCTCTTGGCTTGTCTGGAGCTCTGTTTTTGTTTGATTTAGCTGCAACAGCAATTTTTCTTCTAACCGGGTGCCTATGGCTGATTTCTTTTATTTTTGCTTATCTTTGTATGGTTCAATCATAATTTTTATATGCGTAGTGGTAAAAAGATGTAATTCTGTGTAGAATGAGATATTTCTGACTCCAGCATAGTTATGTAGTATAGAAAAGCACAGGCCTGGAAGGACAGCAGAAGCCTTGGGAAGTGGGCACTCAGGATGCAGTGTACTGTGGTGTACAGGTGTGGGATGATAAGAGACTGGGCGTGAACTAGCCTCAGAGACTCCAAAACTATAAACAACTCACTATAGTCGGTTAAAGAAATGTAGTGTTGGCCCTGACAAAATCAGGTTCGGGCATGACAAAGAGAACAAAGGAGTAATGACTAGCATATATGAAATGCACCATACATAATAAAATAGGATGTAATGTGAACTTGCAGACCAAAGAAGAGAGAGCAAAGTGTAAAAATGTGTTAGTAAGCATATAAAAATGACCTCAAGTGGATACTAGAGTAAGAAAGAAGAAATCACAAACATAAACATTACATTCCTCACAGCAAAGGACACCAGATGTTGATGACTTGTCATATGCCACCCCACCAGACAGAAGTCATCAATCTCAGGGCCTAGGGGGCAGAGGAAGGGTGAGCATAACACTGGGAAAACAGATAGATAGTAGGAAGTATGTGTATAATAATCTGAACTGTGTTATTCTTTTTGAGACTTTTCTGTTTAGCAGTATTCTTCTTTTTTATTTCCTTTTTCTTTCTTCTTCTGTAATAACAAATTTGGACTAATAGTAATTCTTTGATTAGAATTTTAACATTTCAATTATACTAATAACAAATTCTTGGCTTTGTATATCAAGCATTTCCTTTTTGTCTGTAAGAAGATTTTGAACATGACAGAAACAGCTCAAATGAATAGCTTGACTACAGGTGTATGGATGCTTTTTAACTCACTTTACTGGTATGTTAATTCTAGATCTTACCAATATTATTTATAAGCCAACACTATCTTTTCTGAGCACATTTAATTCAACACAATCTTACTTAATGCCTTGAAATCACAGTTTGCAGGACTATAACTTAAACATTTCAATGCCATATGAATTACATGCTTAGTCAGTCAGCAGGCTGTTTCCAGAGCTCTATGGTCAACACTCTGTATCACTGGAAGGTCCCTTATAAGGAAAACAATATATTAATCTTTTTTTTTTTTTTTTCTATTAGCATCTTGCTTAACTTTTCAGCCTTTGCAATTAGGAAATTTTCAGTCTACTGAATTTTAAGTCTACTATAATACTTTCATCCTTACACTTTGCTAGCTTGTTCAGTTATGTGAAAAAGCTTGGAAGTACCTTCTCACAGTACTGTTCGAAGCATTCTTCAGGTGTTCTTTATTCAATGTAATGTACAATGGCCAGACCTTTTATTATACAGTATGTTATCTGAGTTTCAAGTTGTGAGTGCTCATAATTATATTTAATACAGTAACTGCTGACATGGTCTGCCCAGTCAAACCCTAGTTCAGGGGCACTGCATCATTGATAAAATAGAAAAGTGCAACATTTTATCTTATTGTTTAGGTGTTGAGAGAAGTTCCTATTATTTAAATCATCAAAGAGTATGAAGGAGAAACACCAGTTTGTTTTAGCTCTGTTAAGAAAAAAAGTAAAATATGCAAAAGTGACAGTATATTTGTCAACCTAAGTGACAAAATGTGTCATAGAAATGCAAAATCTTTACAGAGATCACAGAAAATCAATCATAGATAATTTTTTTTTTGTCTAACAGATACCATGTATGTCTGACTGAAAGCAGAGCTCAGCTAAAACTGTAGTTAACATGCACAGTTTTAGATGACCTTGGTTTAGGCTTCAGGTAAGTTGTGATTTGGAGTAGTCTGTCCACATATCATTTGAAAGTGTGCCTATCTGAAGAGAGTATAGTATTCAGAAGATTGAATTTCAGGTGAAATGAAGGCAAGAGAAAATAGATAGGAAGAAACAATATATTTCAAATACTTTTCCACGCTTATCTTTTTTTGAGAGTTTATCTGAATCAAGAAAAGAAATAAAACAATTTTTTTTTTCTGGAAATGACCTGAAAACTTCTCACGGAAATTAGATTTGGCAATATTCATTATCTTAATTTCAGATACTGATTCTTTCAAGTTCAGTACAACACTCAAGCATACACATTAATTAGCTACATGTACATAACATTTTGTGAGTTTATATCTGATTACAAACACTGTTGTTGATTATGTAGTAATTTATGTCTAGACCTATTGATATGTATGCTTATACAAATTTGCAATAAATTTTAATATTTTTGTTATTTCTTTGTATTGTATAAAATTTCAGCTACAGCAGTAGAGTTGAACTTATCTTTCCTTCTACAGACATAATAATTTCAATATATATAGACATAATAATTTTAATATATATTGTTCTCACAGTACATAAGAGAAAAGAGTAAAATTCATTAAAATATCTGTAAACTGTCCCCTTATACCTTTTCTTCCCAAGTTCATTACCTCTGCTCAGTGGAAGAATCTGTGAGAATGAATTTGCCTAGCAGGGTGTCTTGGAGACTCAAATACACCCAAGTTTTACACTGTTTCATTTATTTGAGTGAATAATAAAAAAAACACCGATAATCTGAAAATATTCAACTTTATGGCATCAGATGAACAAATTAAAACTTGCTTAGTGTTCAGTTGTTTACTGAAATCTACCTGAGGTATTCAAGTTTTCTGAATCAAGTGAAGCTCTGGGAAAAGCTTTCTGTATGGAAATAGTAGCTGAGGACTTGCCTAAAGTTAGGAAGTATTAAGCGAACATCCACACCTAAATCTTCAGCCAGATTTTAGCTGGTAGTACATATAGATAAACAGTCACCGTGCCTACTCATTGCTAGTAATACTCCTTTAAAGGCAAGCCAACATTCTGCAATAACTGCAGTTTCATGGCTTGAAGATGGTATCACTGAGGTCAATAGCTTAGTAACAGTCAGATATGAATTTGACATTCATGTGGCAATGAGATGTTCCCATTGTGCTATAAAAGATTTTAAAGAATAGGCACATGTGTGAGCACATGCTCTCCTTTAGCAGATGAAGACTAGGATGAATCTTTCCTAGCTAGCTGGTTAATGCATAATCAGCTGCAGACAATTCTTGCAGCTTTCTCTGAAGCAACTAGTCCTAATTCCTGGTGGGAACAGGCTGCCAGCCTGCTGAGCTAGAGGGATCCATGATCTGCTCTGCCACAGCAGCTCTTGTGCTTCGTAAAGGTACTCTTTCATTCAGTTCTGAGATACAATTTTAAAGGACTATTCGTTAACACTGTCTGTAAACACACGAGGGCACTTGAACCCTTGAACCAGCTGAGTGCCAATTCCATCCAGAAGCAGTAAACCTTACTAGAGGCTTTTAAAATAATTAATAGTCTGAGTAAGTTCATTATCATTTAAGATCTATTTTAGCTACACATATTAATATTCTGTTTTTGTTGCAGAGCTAGTTAGATACTGCCATTCATTGATAATAAGTCATTTATTCCTCATTAACTGTTAGGATGGATGTAGATATTCATTATAGCAAGACAACAGACTCATTTAACTGCACACAGTACTTGATTATACACTACGAACATTGACCGGAATGTAAATTTCATTCTGCATAAGTCTCGTTTCAGTTGTTATCCTCACCATGGGATAACATATCTTTCCATAATCTGCTGTACCTTTTTTTCATTAAGTATCTGTCTTACAGCCTAAATAAAATTAAAGATAAAAATAAAAAATAAAGACCTAGTGGTCCTCTCCATTTGGGTAATTAGTCACATAAAGAATAAGGGTTTCCTCACTGAAACTGCTCAAGTTTTAAAAATGTTCTGTGAAATGATGTCTTGCTGCCAGACAGTTGTGCCAAAATTAGTATGATCTTAAATCAGATGAGATTCAGATTTAAAGAATGTGAAACCTTAACAAATAAGCATTACACTGGTCATGGCCACAGGCATTTACTTTTTCAGAAATACAGATATTCTGTGTCCCAACTACAGAAATCAAAATGTCAATTTATACCTGCCAGATGGAAGTCAGAAAGTATATTCTTCGTCATCTTTTGCTCTACAGCAGATATCATTTCCTTTTCTGCATATATTTATGATATTTTTTTTCTTTTCACTCTTACCTGTTTACATTTACAGAAAGCCTTTGTGTGGAAATGCAGGAGTACTGTAATCATCCTTCAGTTATGACTACTATGCTGCTGCCTTGCTCAGGGCATTGTACGATGCATCTAGTAATATAAGAAAATTATAGCTTTGAGATAAATTGAGGCTTTGCATGATTGGCGGGTCAGGGCTACTGCACTATCTCATGAAAGAAACTATGACTCAGTCACACAATTGCATTTGCTGTCTCAAACAACACAAGAAAACTTTGTGCTGTTTTTCCACAACTCTGTTCAAGGCTTCTCCTGCTGCAAATACATATACTGAATTTGGTTAGATACAGTCTCTTTCCCATGGGTGTACATAGGATCTTTGCTGCACATTCAATGACATTTCCCCTTTCTGAAGGCAAAGGGCTGTCTTTTTAAAAGGCTAAATCAGGGGACCAGCATATTGCTTATGGAACTACAGATAGAGTGTAATGGAGCCATTCAAAACAGCTTAAAAACTGGAAGGAAACAGAGTTTGTGTTTAAAGAGGAAAAATAGCTTTATCAAGTCATTTAGCCCAGTTCTGCTGTCCAATTGGAAGGAGGGTTTTTCAGAGATGTTATCAATTCATGGGCTGGCTTCCAATTCTTCCTTCCTTTCCATTCTGGGTTGGGAAGACTGCCTTTCTCTTCTTCAGCAATTAATACTGCACACACATAAATACAGTCTTTAAACAACAGTAAGATGCTTTTATTCTTCCTTTTGCATACTGAGGCATGGAGGCATACTGAATCCGGCATCCTGCTGTATATCTAGACTATGGAATGTTTATATTTGATACAACTATATCTGAAAACTCTGCAAATCATAGAGCTGCTATGCAATTATAAGTGCCCTTCTCTTTGACATAAAAGAGAAAACCCCCAAAATCTTACTTGAAGAGAATGTTCATTTGGGTGTTCATCACTATGCTTTTATTGGTAAAGACTTCTATCAGTGCAACTTATGCAGTCCATTTGGGAGGAAGGGTTTGTGCTTTTAAAGGATGCCTCATCAAGCAAAGTGCAAATGTACAGTGACTCTTAAAAATGCATTTGGGCTGCACCAGGGTTGGGCCATTCAGGTTCTAATGACAAAAAACAAAGAAGCACTCTGAAAAGCAGGGGTGGTTTTTTGTACAAAAGAAATCTATGCAGTCAAAACATAATTTTACATTACAGAAAATTTTCATCTAACTTTACTGAAGTCTTTGAAGATGGCAGAGATAAGACACACAGTACTTTGTAGGACTGCACTGTTCAAAGTTCAGTGAAAATAGCTGGTGAAATGTTGCATAGAGGCAGTAATACTGTAAGCTCCAAAGGCTCCTAATTTCTTCTAACTGAAATCAGTTTTCCTCAGAACATTCTATCAAAAGTACTTTTCATTAAGGACTCTTTCCATCTCTATTTGAACTTTCTATTCTTTTCCAATTTTTCAAGAAGAGCCCTGAAAAGCTTTTTTTTTTAAATGACAAAATATATTTAAAGAATTCTCCTAGTGCTGAAAAAGTGTCAAAGATTGTTACTCAGTAAAAAATTAATGTCTCTCTCAAGGTAAAAAAAAAAATTGCAAACACTTTAGTATCAGCAATTAGAGAGCAAGAAGAAGGAAATAATATAATTTGATAATACAGATTCCAGGACCTGAATATTTTTTATACTATGATATGCTTCTAGAGGCATGTAAATGTATGTTTTTGTTAGTTTAATTCCTCAGATATCTTAGATATTAAAAAAATGCCTTAAAGCATATCTAATTTTAAAAACAGCTAATATTACAAAATGAATTTAATAGATATATCACAAAAAATACCCAGTCAAATCAAATGAATATACTATTCCCCAAAATTAAAAGGAAAAAAAAAAAAAAAACTAAGAAAAGCTATGTTTCATTATTCTAGTGAGCCTGACTGAATTTTGCAGTAAAGTAAGTGCTATTTATATTTTTCTTCAAAGTGTGCAGTTTAATTGGCAAAATGTCAAGGCTGATTCAATCAGATTGGTGGCATGATCGTTGACAACATTCTTCAAGTATTCTGATTCACATTAGAAATTGAAGACATATGTTGTGGGAGAAGATGCCTTAAGAATGAAAATATTGTTGATTCAGACAGATGGTAACTTTTTTAGCAGGAAAAATGAGAAGCAAGAAAATGACAGCTGAGCAAAAGTTAAAAACTATTAAGCCTGACAAGGTTAAAGACTGAATGGGACAAGAAGGGGGTGGATTTCAAAATAACTGTTAAATATAATACTTTAGAGAAGAAAAGTTTTCTTTTCATGATAATCTTTGTCAGCAAAAACATTTACTTTTTTGTAATACATAACTACTCTGAAACAGTTTGGGCAAAACTATCCCTGAAATTCATTTAGTTTAGGTTTCACTGGTTTTGTTTTGCACTCCTAACTGCTTTACGTTGCTGGATTCTTTATTTATAAGTATTTACTCAGAGCAAATCTGTGTAGCCTATATTCACACAAGTGAATATGTAAATATGCCAGTATTGCCAGTGTATGCCAGTATTTTTAATTTCTAATTTTAATTTTTTACTTTTTTTAAATTTATGCCAGTAAATTTAATTGCTTATCTATAGACTGACAGCACCGTGTGCGATTCTCTGTTTCCTTCCAGTTCCAAAGAGTGACTTTTAACCTTTGGCTGTTATTTCATTTCATTATCCTTTTTTTCTCATTTGGCATACATTCCTATTTTATTTCCATGTTAAGTTTGCATGTCTGTCCTGGAATAGATAGAGTTAAATTTGATGCAATGCATCAATAGCTCTTTTTGAATAATTCAATTTTAAATACTTAAAAGAAAAAGAACCCTTAGAATGTGAAACATTAACAATTGCAAACACTTAAGGAAGCTCACCTCAAAATACGAGATTCTAAACAGAATATCTAAGTGAAATTGCTTGATTAGTGTTAATCTCATATAAAAGAAAAATATCAAAAACTATAATTTCTTGGACTTCTGTTGATAAAATAGCATAATTTGGATGAAAATTAGTTTGAATTTATCGGTCACATATCATTTTATTTTAATGTTTTGTTTTCTGCTAACAGGAAAAAATCTTGGTTCAAACAATAAACTGCATATTTTATTGATGTCCACGCAGGCTTGAAATTCTTCATCCGAAATCCACACTTAACTTTCATGAAACCTTTAAAAACTCAGTTAAATTTAAGAGAGACTGTTTCCCCATCCTTTGGGGTCTACAATTTCCATAGTCCGGAATAAGGCAACGTCTTCTTAGAACTGTAATTTTAATCCAGCCTTCTAAATCTGTTCGTTCCATTAGTTCACTGAAGGTTATATCAAGCTTTTAATTTCTACAGTGAACACTTTCTAGGATATTTATTTTACTAAACAGCTATCCATACTTAGTGTTATCTTTATTAGTTGAGTCTCATTAAAATAGAGGAGCTGTATGTTATTTATTGTAATTCTACCTGCTGCCTAGCACCAAGCACCAAGCACTTTAATTTTATTAAAGGTATCTGCTTGGTGACACTGCTTCTTTACTGTTTATTGACCAAAAGCCTCTTCTAATAATTCTTACAACAGAAATAATATGTGTGTACCCAGCTGTGGCATAATCATGGGAAATTAGGATAAATCCATAGAACAGCACTGTCTGCCAGCTCAACTTTTACTTAATGTTTTGCATATATAATTCTTTAGTGTGCTGGAATTTAAAATAGACAATTCTTCCCATGTAGTATTTTTTTCAAACAATAACCCAATCCTCATAAATAAATTATATTTCTCACTTTTTACAGCAAGAGCTGAATATGCAGATGGATTATCCAGATTTACAAAGAGACCAATATCAAAGCAGAGATTAGAACTGAAAACATCTTGGAGTGTACTCTGATATTCAGTGCCCTTGTTCCTGATTAAGCCTCATTTCAGATTGTATTTTAAAGACAGCCGAGCTAGCAAGCAGGGGTAACGTAAATTCTAGGTCATCTCAAAAACATATTTCCACTTTTATTGGTGATTATAAAAGATCAGAATATGCATGCTTTTTTCCTATGCAACCATAAATTAATCAGAATTCAATGTCAAAGATAATCTTCATTTTTTCTTAAAAAATTAAAAAAGGAGAGAGAACAATGCAAGGCAATCACTAAGAAACAAGCAAAGTTTCTCAAAACTTTTTTGTAGACTTCCTAGGTATGTGTGTGAGAGAGAGCAGTAGGCGTCCGTTTGTACTATCTCAATGAAGCATTTTGGTTTTGTGCATTCTCTAGGATGGAACAGCTGTATAGCAGAGTCATTCTGCAAGATTCTTATTCTGAAAAGAATGATGTTCTTGTTCCACTGAAGTAAATGTCAGCAGATTGCTGACTGCAGTATATGTGGGATTTCAGAATACGTGGTTGGACTTTCTTATATTATGAAAAAGAAATACTGCAGGAATAGGACATATTTTTATGAAATGATCAATGTTTTCCTTTTCTTTGTTACTAGAATAACATCAAACTTCTGTCCTTCCGGACTAATATTTTTGTTATCAAAAGCATAATTCCTGGTATTCTGCCACTTCTTTCCATAATTTTAATTAGGTAAAACTATATGCTTAGACTTAAATACAGGCTTAAATTCTTTGTTTGACTGTAATCTATGTCAATAACTTGGCAGAAGCTCAGCAAAATAAGGGCTGTTTTAAAGTAACGACTTCACCTATGACTTCAGTGGAGGTACAAGCAGATCAATAATTGATGGATAAATTTCATTTGGGAAAAATTGATGAGGTAGAATCAAATTTATATAGTCTCTTAAGCAGCAAAGTAGATCAAGCCTTGTTCTACATTGAGAGTCCTAGACACTTCATGTGATTAGAGCAACTTTACATGTGGAAAATCCTCTTTAAAATTTTAAAAAGAAGTTTTTAAGAAGTTAAAAAGGAGTTGTATTTACTAGTTTAAATAAATTAGAGAAAAAGCCGTGTACATTTAAATTTTACCTTTTAAATTGTTTGCTGTCTAAAAATAACTGTTGCAAAATTAAAGATGACTGATACGCTGAAGTAACCAAATAGATTACTAAATGTTTCTAAAATCTGGAATCTCATTTCAGGTAGTCTGATTTCATGGACTAGTTCAACCTGCCTAATTTATGTCCTAGTTAATCATTATTTTCTTTATACATTAACTCCATGTACCACCATCCTCAAAAATATTGTTTTTAAAATCTGATTTAGAGTTCCTGTTCTGTTAAGGATTAATTAAAAAAGAAAAAGGAAAAAACCATATGGTTGATACTTTCATCCTCTGTGCAAGAAATCCGTATTCACCAAAGACTTTTGCTTCTTCAGGAAAACAAACTAAAGTTCATGAAGAAAGCAGTCAGTTAGCATAATGAAACATGATGAAAAGTATTTATACTAAAAAGGAAAAAGCTTGAAAACTAACATCAAGTATCTAATAAGATGAATAACTATATTATCTACTTTTGGTTTAATGATTCTGGCTGAGTACTATGCAACATACTTACATATATGATCTATTCTTCTATTCTGTAGGTCTATTCTTCTTCATTATTCCAAAAATTTATAAGAAACAGACCTCTGTTGTAGTAATCCCCTTCGTTGTAAGCATTTGTATCTTCTTTTCTTATCTGAGGTCTGAACTGCAAAAATATATTGTAATAGTCCCTTTCATTTCCTTATATTGTCTTAGTTTTTGCTTGTAAACACTGTGGAATTTTGTTTTGATATGGTGTTTTGCTTGGATTGTTATCTATTAGGATGTTATGGAGCTATACAGCATAAAAATCTTGTTTTATGAGCCTTGTAAGCCATAGGACTCAATAATGTTTCATAACACTGAATTCCAAAGGTTGTGTCTTTTCTTGCAGAAAGAAGTGATTTTCTTTTCTATATTTGGCCTTTTTAGAGAAAGATTTTCCAAAACTCTTAACTTTCCCTGCAATAACATTAGTTTTTGTCCTTCCATGGTATTTATTTAACTCTTAGACTTTTTTTATAACTCCTCTCTACATAAACTGTTCATAACGTTCCACTGTCTCCTCCAGTGTATTTTCCTCTAAAACTTTTATTTAGTAACTCAAAGATGTTCCATTTTTTTGCAACAGTCATCTTTAAGTTAGAGTGACCACAGCGGATCATAACATATTGGTCATATTTTTTAGCATGATCTTCCATTTCAATTCCTGTGCAATCTAATATTTTATTTGTAAATTCAAGATTTATACTTTAAATTTATTTTCCAAATGGTGCTTAGCCTCATCCTGCATTGTTATAAATACATAATTTTTCAAATTAATCAGAAGTGCAGTAGCTAGCAGACTAAATTAACAGTTGACCCAACCAGAAAGTATGGGGGGGTAGAGGCAGAGATTAGAACGTAAAGCTATGCTTAGGCTAAATGCTCATGGTTCTTCAGAATCCAGTTTTTGCATAAGGAAAAACATATGTACATAAATCATTATTCTACAGATTTTTTACTCCTTTTGCTAACCCTTCAGATTCATATTTTTAAAAAAAAGTAGTATCTTCAGTACAACTACCCTTAGCCAGGTGTATTGCCCTTCACCACAAAGGCATCAGCGAATTTGCCACAATAAATGTTTCTTAAATATAGTTCTTTTTCCAGGCTTTTCCTGATGCAAGAAATGATCAGTTATGTTGTGTGAAGGTGCTCATTAATATATGTAAAGATATTGCTTCTTTTTTTGCTCATCTAATTGTGAAAAAAGCAGAGCTAAAGGTGTGTCATCATGTCCCGTTCCCCCTACCCGGTGTCCTCCCCCATTTTCTGTCTCAGTCCACAGGATTCTCGAATACCTAAATGAAGATAACAGGAACTACTCCAATATTTTCAAAGTGGAATATCGTGCTGCAGTAAAAACACTTATTACCTATGATTAATTGAAGAGAATATTTAGAAGATCAGCATACATGCAAGGCCAAGGTAAGGAAGCACATCTGACTAGAATTAATTATTCACCCTTAAGGATAAATCTAACTATGCATACATATGTATGTATGTATGTATGTATGAAATCTTGTGAAATTTAAGTTAAAAATATATAGAGGCCCAAAGATGAAAAAGAATAAATAAGTTTATCTAGCTTTTGTGCAAGATAAGGGATGGGCTTAAAAGCAGTTTTCAGAGAAAAGATGAAATTTCATTGGCAAAAAGACTTTTCCATTTTTCTCTGTAAATAATTTGCTAGAGTGGTACTAGAATGGCTGGAATAGGACTTATCTGTTGTGCTTTCAAAAATCATAGCAATGTCTAGCTGATTAGAAAATAAGGAGTGAAAGTTGGCCCTACTTTTTTTTTCTTTTTGATAGGATGCTATATTTCACTGGGAGATTTTGCTTCAAAATATACATCTGGAGAAGGCCATCTAGATTTTCTGGTATTCTCAGATGTTTCCATGAAAATAGTTAACCTTTACCCTTCCTTTCTGTTGCTGCTGCTAGTTGAATACAATATCTAACAAAACAAACTCCTATGATTTTTATGATGTCCAAACTGAGAGAGCAGAGTTGGATGCAGACAGAGTCTCCTTATCTGAATGTTTCTTAAAAAAATCAGGTGGCCTTGCAAAACTGAGATCTACCAATCACAACATGTAGTTTTAAAACTGTGCTGTTAGCTGGTGGAGCAGGGAGACTTAGGAATAAATATGATAGCAGTTACAACTTTTAATTATAAATGACTGAGGAAACAGAAAAGACTGATGGCCTATAATTAATTTCAGCTCCTGAAAATGTCCTTTCATTTACATTTTGGGCTCTTAGCAGCCAAGCAAGCGCATGAAAAACTGTGAAGGAGCTATACTAGGCAGGAATAAACAATTCCTTTTTCTCTAAATGTCCGTTCACACCTCGGGTAGATCAGAAAAATTATTTCACCTTGCCATGTAAAACCTGGAATTAAAAAAATGACATGAACCCACTGATGTGTTTTGGACCATAATTCTGTAATTTTCAGTCTTATGAATGCATAGAGCACCTATATCGTATCAACACAAAAACAATGGATCTGGCATCAGGGATGGCTCAGAGAACGTTAGCACATCTATTAACCTTGAGGGTTCTGTGCTGGCACATTATCACCAAACAGCTACATTATCCTTATAAGATATTTTCTGGGAGGTTTATTCAATTCTTTTTCGTGATTTACACAAACAATGCATGCGAGCTCATGGGATCTGGCAATGAATGAATACTCAGAACAAATGTTAAACTAAAATCTTTTCTGGAAAAAATAACAACAAACAAAATAACATTCACAAGTTTACAGCCTATCTTCCACAAATATCTTCTGTCATGAAACTAAACATGAATTAGACAAATTAACAGAAAAAGGTTTTAGCTATAATACAAAAAATAATTGTTAACGCTCCCCTCTTCTGCTCTCTTCAGTATGTGGAACATCCAAAATGAGTAAAGTGTCACATCTTTGTTTCTCCTGGTTCTTCTGAAGTGGAGAAGAATGATGCAGTAGGTTCCATCAGAAATTTCTGTTTTAAACATTCCCCAACTGCATTTAAGGGTCAAAGGAGAGCTCTTTTTCTAAGATGATGGGTCTGCAACTCCATAGTGATACCAATACCTTAACAATTTTAAAACCTACCAGATCTGTAACTCTTCCTGCTGTCAACCTGTATGTGCTGTGTATTCTTATGCAAACGCTTGCCTTCTCTTCTTTACATACCACTCAGCAATATGATTTTGTAATCAGTTAACTCTACTTAGAAATGTTCTTTGCAGTGAAAAGCCTTTTTTGTCACAGCTGGTTATCTTCCAGAACTTGGGGGAAGTGAACATCCTAGAACAATTTTAAATAACTTTTTTGCATTCCTTTGCACTGCACTCTCTATATATGAAAGGTCCTCATGCATTAGGAAAAGAATAATATTTCACTATTTGCTCGTAAATCATAGGTTAGGAAAGTAAAACTAAATAATGTAGCAAGTCCTCAGTGGAGGACAGAGTACTCAGGAAATAGTTTGAATACTAGCATATCACAGAATCACAGAATCACAGCATGGCCAAGGTTGGAAGGGACCTGTGGAGGTCATCTAGTCCTTGCTCAAGCAGGGTTCTCTAGAGCACCTCGCACAGGATCGTGTCTGGGGGGGGGTTGAATATCTCCAAGGATGGAGATACCTCCACAACGTCTCTGGGCAACCTGTTCCAGTGCTCTGTCACCCTCACAGGAAAGAAGTTTTTCCTCATGTTCAGATGGAACTGCCTGTGGTTCAGTTTGTGCCCATTGCTTCTCATCCTATTTCTGGGCACCACAGAGAAGAGTCTGGCCTCATCCTCTTGACACCCTCCCTACAGATACTTGTACACATTGATAACATCACCTCTCAGTCTTCTCTTCTCCAAGCTGAATAGGCCCAGCTCTCTCAGCCTTTCTTCAGAGGAGAGATGCTCCAATCACCTAATCATTTTTGTAGCCCTCTGCTGGACTCATTCCAGTAGTGCCATATCTCTCTTGCACTGGGGAGCCCAGAATGGGTGCAGGACCCTGCACTTGCCTTTGTTGAACTTCATGAGGTTCCTCTCCGCCCACCTCTCCAGCCTGTCCAGGTCCCTC